TGTTTGTTTGTGATTAATTTGTGTCGGATTTGTTTTGGTCAGCCCCGGCTGTCCATCCATCTGTCGCAGCCATGACATAATGCGCAGGCCTGTGGAGCCGCCCAGTCCCTCCAGTTCTCCCTGCAACCCCACTCCTGACGTCAGCTCCTGGGCACACGTCAAGGGGGCCTTTTTATACCATTCTGTTTCTCTCTATCACTCTCCCTCCTCCACCTTCTTCTGGTATGTTTCTTCCTCCCACATTTCCTTAAGGAAATCATGCTAATGAGATTTTTGCCATATAAGCTTAAGCCTCTTGCTCTGTTGATCCAGGAGCATGAAGTTAACGATGGGCTTTTATGAAACGAGAATAGATGTGTTTACAACAATGTTATTACTGTTTGTAACCTGATGGGTGGAATTGGTGCATCAACTATCTTGATTGAAAATGGCCACATTAGCTGAGTTCCTAATTCATTCCCATGCATTATCGAATCATTATGACATGCCATTGGTTACTCATCTCTTCCATTCACATCCAATCCATCTACAGGAGCTCTGTAGCCGTTATTCAATAAGAGCATGAATCAGGTGAAGACTTGTGAATATCCCAAAAAACGCTCAGCCAATAACATTTCCCCACCGATTAATAACCCTCGATGAGCGACAAATGGCCTCCTTTAAAAAAAGAAGTTCCCAGAATATTTGTTAGGTTGCAGCAAATGTCCTCATAACACAAAAACTGTCCAGTCGTGCTGATGATTATACGTTTGTATAAAATATTCACCTGATGTTGCAAGAACTTTCCCAGAACACAGTATGTTCTTTAAAGGTTCCCAGAATGTTGCATTAGGTTGTGGGAACAGTCTGATGGTAACATTGTGGGGATATGACAAGATATAGGTTCCCAAAACACTAAAACTGTCCAGTTGTGCTGACATTCAGATAATGTTTGTATCAGGGTACACAAAACATTCCTTTGATGTTGCAAGGATGTCAACAGAACAGCCATTCTGAGTTATTTAAAGGCTTCCAGAACATTTAATTAGGTTGTAGGAACAGTGTGGATACATTACAAGAAGCAAAATATGTTCAGTTGTGATGACATTCTTACAATGTTTAAGTTAGGTTTCACAGGACATTCCCTTAATGTTCCAAGAATATTCTTGTGCTATATTCTCTCCCTCTCTCCCTCCCATCCCGGAGGACCTGAGCCCTAGGACCATGCCTCAGGACTACCTGGCCTGATGACTCCTTGCTGTCCCCAGTCCACCTGGTCGTGCTGCTGCTGACCTGTTCACCGGATGTGCTACCTTGTCCCAGACCTGCTGTTTTCAACTCTCTCTACTGCACCTGCTATTTCAACCTTTAAATGCCCGGCTATGAAAAGCCAAGTGACATTTACTCCTGATGTACTGACCTGTTGCAACCTCTACAACCACTGTGATTATTATTTGACCCTGCTGGTCATCTATGAACGTTTTAACATAGCCTTGGTTTCTCAAATGACTGCCTCGCCTGGTTCACCAACTACTTCTCAGATAGAGTTCAGTGTGTCAAATCGAAGGGCCTGTTGTCTGGACCTATGGCAGTCTCTATGGGGGTGCCACAGGGTTCAATTCTTGGGCCGACACTTTTCTCTGTGTATATCAATGATGTCGCTCTTGCTGCTGGTGACTCTCAGATCCACCTCTACGCAGACGACACCATTTTGTATACATCTGGCCCTTCATTGGACACTGTGTTAACAAACCTCCAAACGAGCTTCAATGCCATACAACAATCCTTCAGTAGCCTCCAACTGCTCTTAAACACTAGTAAAACTAAATGCATGCTTTTCAATCGAACGCTGCTGGCACCCGCCCACCCGACTAGAATCACCACTCTCGACGGGTCTGACCTAGAGTATGTGGACAACTACAAATACCTAGGTGTCTGGTTAGACTGTAAACTCAACTTCCAGACTCACATAAAGAATCTCCAATCCAAAGTTAAATCTAGAATCGGCTTCCTATTTCGCAACAAAGCCTCCTTCACTCATGCTGCCAAACATGCCCTCGTAAAACTGACTATCCTACCGATCCTTGACTTCGGCGATGTCATTTACAAAATAGCCTCCAACACTCTACTCAGCAAATTGGATGTAGTCTATCACAGTGCCATCCGTTTTGTCTCCAAAGCCCCATACACTACCCACCACTGTGACCTGTACGCTCTTGTTGGCTGGTCCTCACTACATGTTCGTCGTCAAACCCACTGGCTCCAGGCCATCTATAAATCACTGCTAGGCAAATCCCCGCCTTATCTTAGCTCATTGGTCACCATAGCAGCACCCACCCGTAGTCTGCGCTCCAGCAGGTATATCTCACTGGTCATTCCCAAAGCCAACACCTCCTTTGGCCGCCATTCCTTCCAGTTCTCTGCTGCCAATGACTGGAACGAATTGCAAAAATCTCTGAAGCTGGAGACTCTTATCTCCCTCAATAACTTTAAGCATCAGTTGTCAGAGCACCTTACCGATCACTGCACCTGTACACAGCCCATCTGAAATTAGCCCACCCAACTACCTCATCCCTATATTGTTATTTATTTTGCTCTTTTGCACCCCAGTATCTCTATTTGCACATAATCTCTTGCACATCTAGCATTCCAGTGTTAATACTATTGTAATTATTCTGCACTATAGCCTATTTACTGCCTTACCTCCATAACTTGCTACATTTGCACACACTGTATATATATTTTCTGTTGTATTTCTGACTTTATGTTTTTTACCCCATATGTAACTCTGTGTTGTTGTTTTTTATTGCACTACTATGCTTTATCTTGGCCAGGTCGCAGTTGTAAATGAGAACCTGTTCTCAACTGGCTTACCTGGTTAAATAAAGGTGAAATAAAATTAAAAAAAAAAAATTAACATCTTGGAGAAAAATCTGGCCTTAATGGCAATGTACTGTTATAATCTCCACCTGGCACAGCCAGAAGGGGACTGACCACCCCTCAGAGCCTGGTTCCTCTCTAGGTTTCTTCCTAGGTTTCTGCCTTTCTAGGGAGTTTTTCCTAGCCACCGTGCTTCTACATCTGCATTGCTTGCTGTTTGGGGTTTTAGGCTGGGTTTCTGTATAGCACTTTGTGACATCTGCTGATGTAAAAAGGGCTTTATAAATAAAATTTGATTGATTGATTCACGAAGGTTGCACAGAACATTCCCACAATGTTGCATAATGTTCCACAATTTCCAAATAAGTCTGTTTTTATGATGTTAATAGCATTTTTTTTTTTTTGGGGGGGGGGGGGGGGGGGTAATGCTGCATAGTTATTTTAATAACTCAGAAATTGTGTTCTGTGTCCTGATTGACCATATTAGACTGAAAAAACCCCACAATACCACAGTTATCTCCTGGTGGCACAGAGGGTTAATGATCTGACTGCAAGATTGCGGGTTCAATCCCACATATTCTTTATGCATGTTAAAAAAAAAAAAATGAAATTGAGGCTCAGATATAATCTACTAAAATATATTGTCTTTATTTCTTCCAGATTTAGAAATCCAACAGAAATGCAGAATTTAGACTAACTGTAAAAAATTAAACATTGTGTAAAAATTGACTGAAAAGTAAACGTGATCCTAGATCAGCAGTTATAGTCTTGGATACCTTGTAAATATGGGCCCCCAAGTACGCAGCATATAAAGAGGATGGGTGAAGTGATGGTGAATAACCCAGTTACCAGTATTTCCCTGGCTTAGTTATGTCTAAGAAGACTAAAAAAGTATGAAATTCCTGATTGACCATACTGCCATGGCTATATAATGAAAAAATAACATGTAAGAGAGCTTCCCTGGTGTTGCAGAGGATAAAAGACATGGCTTGAGAACCAAACATTGCAGGTTCAGAACCCACATGTGCAGATTGTCAACATATGAAGTGTAAAAAATATGGTTGTGTTTGTATGATTAAATGCTGTTCAAATGTCCTATGATCAAATCAAAATTGTATTTGTCACATGCATCGAATACAACAGTGTAGACTTTACTGTGAAATGCTTACTTAGTGAAATGCTTACTTACGAGCCCTTTCCCAACAATGCAGAGTTAAAAAATAAGAATTAGCAACATAAAAAAAGGATATAGTAACACAATAAAATAACAATAATAAGGCTATATACAAGGAGTACTGAAACCAAGTCAATATGCAGGTAGTTGAGGTAATATGTATATGTAGGTAGGCGTAAAAGTGACTAGGCAGGACAGATAATAAACAGACTAGTGTGTATGTGTGGCATCAATGTATATTGTGTGAACCTCAATGGAATATTATGTTAAACCTAAAATAAATATACTATGAATGTCATATAAACTGACTTATTTGGAAATTGTGCAATATTGTGGGAATGTTTTGTGCAACCTATGTGAATATCACAATAATATTATTGCAACATCCCAGACAACTCCCATAACTTAATTAAATGTTCTGGAAACCTTTAAAGAACTTAGACCAGGTGTTCTGTCAACATTCTTACAACATTATAGGAATGTGCTATGCAACCTAACTTAACTATTGTATGAATGTTATCACAACTGAGCATACTTTGTATTTTTTTTATCCTAAAAGATACATTGTAGAATTATCCACACAACTGGACAGTTTTTGTGTTTTGGGAACATATCTTTTGTTATGTCCCCACAATGTTCTCACCAGATTGTTCCCACAACCTAAAAAACATTCTGGGAACCTTTAAAGAACAGATTAAATGTGTTCTAAGAACGTTCTTGCAACATCAGGCGAATGTTTTATACAAACATTCTATAATCATCAGCACGACTGGACAGTTTTTGTCTTATGAGAACATTTGCAACCTAATGAATGTTCTGATAACTTTCACAGAACCATTTTTGGTTTGCTGGGTTAGCTCTTCTAGTGTTAACCCAGGTCACAGTAGAAGTGGTAAAATTGCTACTGTTGAAGGCTTTGGACATCTTTACTTTTCTAGTGTATTATTTTGTCCTCTGTCTCCCCAGTATTGTAGGCCATACTGAACCCTACACCAAACTGTGCTGTAAGGGTTTCTGCATAGACATCCTGAAGAAGCTGTCCCGCACCACCAAGTTCTCATACGACCTCTACCTGGTCACCAATGGGAAGCACGGCAAGCTGGTCAGAGGCAGTTGGAACGGCATGATCGGAGAGGTAAGGAGATGATGGTTATTCTAACAAGCATTATAATTAGCCACCTGCTAAAAAGTTAGCATATCAAATAAATTAGATTTAGCTAATAAAATTGAATGATAATGCAAAACTTTTATTTCAGTTTATATAGACATACCCCAAAAGTAATTATTTGTCATGAGATTGCCATAAACAATAACTAGTAATGCTGCATAGTTCTAGAAAGGTCTGGAACTCACCTTTCTGGTAAAAATGTGTTTAAAAGTTGCTGAAGTGTACTCATTTTTGAGGACAAGCTCAAGTATATAGTACAAATATTATTAAAATATTAAAAACCATATGATTTTTTTTATCCCTATTCAGCTTAAGTGGGGGAATAGGGCTTGAAATGATTGAAATGCTTTCTAAATATAGTAACAATCAAATTATAAATGACTTAATATAAGATTTCACCTTTCTTATAACTGTAAAATAAATATGATACATTTGGCCCCATTTCATATAACTAATGACAGAGGATTTTCTGCCTCCTCTGAACGATGCAGAGACACCATTCGAAAGTGGTCGTGTTTCAGTTCTTGACATTGGTGATTTAGGTTTATGTTGGCACTGAGTTCAGATAAACATTAAAAATAAAAAGCCATGAATAACGATTAATTAATTGCCCTTAATAAAAACAAATAGGTATCATGGTCCAAATCCAAATAAAGGGAAACGAGCTGGAAGTTCGCAGATTTTTGCATCCCTATTAGAGTGAGTTTAAAAAACAAAGTAAATGCCCTTGTAAATAATCTCCACCATCAAACTAATCCATTAGTTATAATTTTCAGGGAAGCTATTGTGCTCTATTGGGCATTGACTACAGTAGCACCAGTAATGTCTGACATGACGCCAGGCAGAATGCCTGGACTGTAAATCCACTGGCGAGTCAATCAGCATGTTAAACATTAGAGTTGTGTAGGGGAAAACGTCAGTAGAGGTTATTAAGAGCATAAATCATACTGCTTATTAGGTAGTTCTTTATGAGTTTTAGTTTAGAAAACGATCTCTCTGCAGAAGTGACAGTTACAGGGATGGTAAAAACAGCTTGATTGCCATAGCAACATCAGGGAAACTGGGCAGAAGGGAGTTGTGCCACTTTTGTAACATCTTTAATTGAGCCTCTCATTCTCCTTAATTGCCGGCCTCAAGATTTTACGGAAAGAGATTAACTGTATAGGAAGCTCTAGGGACAGGTCGTCTGGATACTGGACAGCCAATAAATTGGCAGATGCAAAAAGATTATCATCTTTAGCAGACAACAGTTCTTGAGGGCTTGAACAAATAAAGCTGTTTGTGATTTTGTTCATACTGGTGAACCGGCGTTTGAGTTGTGTGGTTGCAATATAAACAGTCCCTTTTCTCTGGTATATCTTGGCCTGCATCATTCAAGGCTAAGTTTAAATTGTGTGCAGCACAATGGACATATAATGCACAATGTCTCAGGAAAGACTGTCTGGGTTGGCAACCTGGATCTACAGTACAGGCTGTGGTGAAAACATTTGCACACAAAAAAGGAGGACTTCAGGACACCAGGGGAGTCTTTCAAGTTGGATTCACCTTGAATATTGCAGCCCATTTGTGTAGGCTATTAGCCAGACAGCCAGACCCAGATATATTAGCCAGACAGCCAGACCCAGACCTATTAGCCAGACAGCCAGACCCAGACCTATTAGCCAGACAGCCAGACCCAGACCTATTAGGCAGACAGCCAGACCCAGACCTATTAGCCAGACAGACAGACCCAGACCTATTAGCCAGACAGCCAGACCCAGACCTATTAGCCAGACAGCCAGACCCAGACCTATTAGCCAGACAGCCAGACCCAGACCTATTAGCCAGACCTAGACCTATTAGCCAGACAGCCAGACAGCCAGACAGCCAGACCCGCTGAGTTCAACAATAAAGAGTGGCTAAATGTATCCTCAAGCCGACTACTTTTTTTTTCATTGTTAGGTTCTTTGATGTGTCATTTAGATAGTACATTGCATAATGAAACAATCCCTAGTAAGCTAGTGTTTTGAGGGTGGACTGATTGTATTATTTTGCATTTGTGATGAGTGTGATGGAAAGGAGTCAGGCGCAGGAGTGTAATCACCGAATACAGAGTTTTTCCTTCGTAGACACACAAATGCGCTCAAATAGTGATCAACGAAACAGGCACAGGGGAAACTATCATCCCTGGCAAATACACTGTAACGGATATCCAATAATACATAGGCACAGGGGGAAATCTACCCTGGCAACAATATGTTACGAGTAGCACCACCGCGCTACACTACTCTCACAAATAACAATCACCCACAAGGACAAGGGGGCAGAGGGAACACTTATACACGGACTGATGAGGAGATTAGGACCAGGTGTGTGTGATTGACAAGACAAGACTAATGTGATGATGATTGGGGCGGCAGTGGTTAGTAAGCCGGTGACGACGAACGAGGAGGGGAGGCAGCCTCAGCCGAAGTCGTGACAGCATTATTAGGTTTTACGCACAACTTTCTATCCAATCTGGGAGAGAGTGTGAGGACGACTCATGTCATGCAGGTTAAGATAGCCTATACAGGACAGTTGTATATTATAAAAAATATATATTGGTAGCTGATTAGTATGCTGAAGATTTATTTTACAATCTGCAATGGTTGAATTTCCTACTGTAATTACATTATTGCCACGAACCAGCAGTCTAAAAATGGCAGCATTGCGACTCCATGTTTAGTTTCGTGAAATGTTAAGCTTAACATGACAAAATGACGACCAAATAGGCCTACCAATAAACATTTAACCATTAGCTAAAGCAAAGCTAAACCCTGGCACCACAGAAAGCCTATCATCGATTCAATAGGCATGCAGCCGCATAGACCTTGTGGTCATGGCCGTCGTAGCCATAACCACCGCATTTGTTCACTGATATCCCCTTATATTTTAAATCTTTTTTTCTTTATCTTTTTTTTAACTATTTCAGTCACATTCCTGAAGGTCAAGAAACAAACACTTAGCTTCCTAGTACATATAGAAATTAAAAAGGTTTATGAATTACTTTTTGGAGGGTTACTGTCAAAATGATGACATTTTGCTCGTGGGGCCCCTAGAGCTCGCCTTGCAGGGGTGTTTGGTATGCCAGTGTTCACAATGCCCACTTCCTGCTGGTAATGCTTTGTCAGCCGGAGCCAGGGGCTTATGTAACAGGTATTAGGTCTTTGGTATATGCAGCAATATCTAGTAATGGATTAGGGATTAGGATAGATATCGCATGATGGATGATATTGCAGAGATGAATGGGTGGGTAGATGCCATGGGCTGTTATCTGCATCTGTCTGTCTGGATGGGTTGTGTAGTATATCAGGGATAATACTGTACACACTGGATGTCACCTACAGGGATTTAAACCTTGTATATCAATGTTGCTAGATAAAATGAATCAAACGGGTCAACGAGCATCCCTAATCCCAGTGTTCGATTTATTACACATCATGGAACATATAGACTGTATACATTCTATGTCTTCCCTTCTCCCTAGGTGGTATACAAGCGGGCGGATATGGCCATTGGCTCGCTGACCATAAACGAAGAGCGCTCAGAAATTATCGACTTCTCCGTGCCGTTCGTGGAGACGGGGATCAGTGTGATGGTTGCCAGGAGCAACGGGACCGTCTCACCCTCTGCCTTTCTTGGTGAGCATGTTAAACCTGCTCATCTAAACAAACAAAACTTTTCTCCACAGAGATAACACCACTTGGCTTAAAAAAGCTTATTTTACCATCTGAAAACAGAAATGGCAAATGGTACTCTCTCTGGACAGAGTTTAGAACTCACAACTGAATTTATCGTACAACAAGCTGCCTCACACTACAGAAACAGGAGATAGGCTCCTGCTCCTATGAGTGGTTCCGGTTCGCACATGCCAAGAATCGTTCAAGGCTACGTTACTTACTTTAATACTTTATAAAGAACATCCCTTTCAGAAGCTGCTGACAGTGTGTTACTATGGTAATACAATACCACGTTGTCCTTGCCATTATCTAGCAAGCAGCTGTCAGAGCACATGGTTTCAATGATTGCTAGAAAGCTGTTCTGATTCTTCTATAGGTGTTCTGATTCCTCTCTCCCCCCTCCTCTGTAGAGTCCTACAGTCCGGCGGTGTGGGTGATGATGTTCTGATTCTTCTATAGGTGTTCTGATTCCTCTCTCCCCCCTCCTCTGTAGAGCCCTACAGTCCGGCGGTGTGGGTGATGATGTTTGTGATGTGCCTAACGGTGGTAGCAGTCACAGTGTTTATCTTTGAGTACTGCAGCCCTGTGGGGTACAACCGCAGTCTGGTGAGCGCCAAGGGTGAGTGTCAGCTCCGACCACCTTTCCCTCTACCTCTACCCTTCCGTATCAGCAAAGGTAGAAAGTCACGGAAAAGTAGGTTGAAAGATCTCTATATCATATCACAGAAAATATTAAAATACATTGAAATGGAATGCAAACGCATGTTAGATACGCCCTCTCTGAATCCCTTCTGTCTTTACCACAACCACCATCCTGTCTTCTCCAGATCCCGGAGGCCCCACCTTCACTATTGGGAAGTCAGTGTGGCTGCTGTGGGGCATCGTCTTCAACAACTCTGTCCCAATTGAGAACCCCAAGGGCACCACCAGCAAGGTCATGGTCCTGGTATGGGCCTTCTTCGCTGTCATCTTCCTGGCCTCCTACACTGCCAACCTGGCAGCCTTCATGATCCAGGAGCAATACACTGACACAGTCTCTGGACTGAGTGACAAAAAGGTAGGAGGATTCATCAGTCATTGGTGATTCTGTCTGTGTTCAGTCTTTGAAAGGGGGAGAGAATTATGGACATACTGTAGTGTTTGATGTTAGGCTTAGACAAAATATAGAGTGGCCTATTTTTGATGAGCAAACAGTGCCTGGCTGCGAACAGTTTGAGAGAATACAAATAACCACGGGCAGAGCCTCAATGTCACGACTGTGACTTTTTCCACTCATAACAAAAACATAATAGGATTCCCAGTGTCTGTGGTGAAATTAAATTCGATCCCTGAAGTCTTTAGGTGTGATGTCTGTGAAAATCCCCTGGATTGTACTACACCAGTGGATTTGCTGAGCCACCAGTGATTATATATTATAGTATTAACTTATGCATCTTTGTGTGGCCTGTGGAGGTGCTCTACACCAGTATTGACAAGGAAATCCATGTTAAACCTTCAGTGCTAGAAATGATTTGTAGACTCTCTGCTTTGAGGCACTGAGGGATTAGAGAGGCATTTGAGGGAAAAGACCAAGCTGTCCACTGCTCATTAGAATTCTGGGAACTCATTTAATATTCTTCCCACATTATCCATCAGCTCTACTTTGTGAAAGAAAGACGAGAATCCATAAAGTGTCTTTTGACAGTGAGTCTACAGATTAAAACCAGGGCAGAATCCACAGAAGCTCAGAGAGAATAGCCAGACTGGACACTGCAGGTGGAACATTTAAATTGAGCTGTATGAACTCTAAAATGTGACCTTCTCTGAAAGTGTTTCAAACAAGAGGCATGTGCGAAATACAAACTGGTTTAAGGACAGTAGCTGGTGTTTAATGTAGTGACGGATGATTGTTTCTCCTCCTGGGACTGTTAACTTCAGAGAGTCATGCATGGACACTATGGCCAAGACTTTTCCATTTCCTCATAGTGACATCATTTACAGACGGGCACCTCCCTCTTTAGACCATGTCTGTGCTAGTCTCTCCTTTCTGTACAAGCTGTCAGATGTTAACCGATTTCTGTAAGAATCCTATACACTTTACTTTGTCCAGCTAGACTCAAGCTCTATGGGTCAACCATCATCCATGCTTTTAGTCAGGGTTTTCACTGCTTCCCAACAGGCATTTACAACACAGAGCACTGTATGACATTCTGTGCCTTGGGGCACTATCACACTACTATAGTATTCCCTCATTCACATTGCAGCAGCATAACCTTGGTCTGTTGGGTGAGATGAGGAACACAGGCTGAGTATCCTAATGCAGCCAGTGTACAAGATACAGGACAAATCGGAACGAGGACAACACTGTCATCTCTTCAGCTCCTCCACCAGACAGCAGTGAGACGTGGGATGCATAAGACTGGCACCAAGGGTCTCATTAATTCATGTGAAATGGCTCAGAGGACATTTCTCTCATTCTGACAAGCCAAGGTTACTAGGAATTGTCGCTCACTGATGTATTTGCATTAATGAACAAGTACAATTTATTTCCAGTATATTGCACAGTCAGGGTATTCAAATGAATATGGTGCACTCTGCGTCAAAGGGGCCTGGCAAAATAAGGAGAAATTAGGAATTTTTATTACAGTCAAGGGGGAAGAAGTAATTTTCTAATTCTCTGGAAAGCATGGCCTGGACTTAATTTCTGTTCATTGTACCCTCTAATCATCGAATTAGATGTGGAAATTAACAGAGAGAAGAATTATGGTGAGGGTAATCTTAGCTGACCAGTTAATTGAGTGAACAGCACTTGAGGGTACAGGCAGATATCAAAGAGACGGCGGTCTAGTGGAGTAAAGGACAAGGTGATCAGTGTCATTGTGTTTGTTTCTTTGAGGTTTATATTCACGCCTCTGGGTTTGCTTGGCACATCATACACTCTTAGAAAAAAAGTGCTATCTAGAACCTAAAAGGGTTCTTCGGCTGTCCCCATAGGATAACCCTTTGAAGAACCCTTTTTGGTTCCAGGTAGAACCCACTTGGTTCCAGGTAGAACCATTTTGAGTTCCATGTAGAACCCTTTCCACAGAGGGTTCTACACGGAACCCAAAATAGTAATTCTACCTGTAACCAAAAATGGTTCTCCTATGGGGACAGCCGAAGAACCCTTTTGGAACCCTTTTTTCTAAGAGTGTATAGAAAGGGTTGAGACATCAGATCTTAGGAGAGGGTGGAAGAAAAATATATAAAATATTATTACTTAATATGCAAGTATGTCAATGTATTTGATATTTTAAAAAATGAATGACAGAATGAATAGTGCCTGTATTCTTCCTAGACATGTTGTGTATCCTATTCAACTTTTTTCTTGTTCATGCATTTATAATTCAACCTTTTACATTTCCAAAACAGTTCCAGAAGCCACAGGAGCAGTATCCACCGTTTCGTTTTGGTACGGTCCCAAACGGAAGCACAGAGAGGAACATCCGGAGCAACTACCCTGAGATGCATGCCCACATGGTCAAATACAACCAGAAGGGTGTGGAGGACGCCCTCAACAGCCTCAAATCAGGGTAACACTCTGTAAATAATCATTATACAGTCAGTGGCAGAAAACAGACATCAGTGTAATAAATTGTAAAATGTCTAAGCAAATATTTTGTGTTTGATTAAATTATAATTCATTAGATAAGTTATTACATGGTAATTAAATAGTAATTAAAAATACATTTGGCTATCATTGCATTTTCCCACAAGATAAATCCCTATTCTTATCTATAGGAAACTGGATGCCTTCATCTACGACGCTGCTGTGCTGAACTACATGGCGGGTAAAGACGAGGGCTGTAAGCTGGTGACCATCGGCAGTGGGAAGGTCTTTGCCACCACTGGCTATGGCATCGCCTTGCAGAAGGAGTCCCGATGGAAACGTCCCATAGACCTGGCCCTGCTCCAGTTCCTAGCTGATGGTAAATTACAATTAACCCCGTGTGGAGTGGGAGGGGCGGCTAACTGCAAATCTTAGCTGTACTTATCCCTTTAGGTACCAAATACTCCCAAATTGTCCCATTTGCTAAACTGATTAACTGCCCATTAATGGTAAAAAATGCGTCCCTCACACAAGCAAGCTAGGATAGGCCCGCAAAGCCTCGAGATTAGAAAAAATGAAACTTCAATGAAAATACTGGCGTACATTGCACCATGGATCACTCAGAGGTACTATAACATAGAGTTTTTACTGTGTGCCAGGGAACAACAAGTGTAAAATGCTGAGTCAGGGTGTGTCGAGGGGAGTGATGAGGGTGTGATATTGGCATTGACACACAATGACCGCAACCAGCGCAAGAGTATTTAAATGAACACCTTTGAGCCTCCCTGTGTTCTGTTCTTCCCCGCTCGCTGCAGGTGACACACAGAAGCTGCAGACAGTGTGGCTCACAGGGATCTGTCGTAATGAGAAGAAGGAGGTGATGAGCAGTAAGTTGGATATAGACAACATGGCAGGTGTCTTCTACATGCTGCTGGTGGCCATGGGGCTCAGTCTCCTGGTGTTCAGCTGGGAACATCTGCTCTACTGGAAGCTGAGACACTCAGTACGCAAGTCTGAACGCCTCGACTTCCTGCTCGCCATCAGCAGGGTAAGTGTGGCTGACCCTTCTTCCGAGGGACAGGGGTGGAAAGGGTACATAGACCTAATGTATAGGGATGTACAATACCGTTCAAAACTTTGGGGTCACTTAGAAATTTCCTTGTTTTCGAAAGAAAAGCAATTTCTTTGTCCATTAAAATAACATCAAATTGATCAGAAATACAGTGTAGACATTGTGAATGTTGTAAATGGCTATTGTAGCTGGAAACGGCTGATTTTTTATGGAATATCTACATAGGCGTACAGAGGCCCATTATCAGCAACCATCAGTCCTGTGTTCCAATGGCACGTTGTGTTTGCTAATCCAAGTTTATCATTTCAAAAGGCTAATTGATCATTAGAAAACCCCTTTGCAATTATGTTAGCACAGCTGAAAACTGTTGTGCTGATTAAAGAACCAATAAAACTGGCCTTCTTGAGACTAGTTGAGTATCTGGAGCATCAGCAATTGTGGGTTCGATTACAGGTTCAAAATGGCCAGAAACAAAGAACTTTCTTCTGAAACTCGTCAGTCTATTCTTGTTCTGAGAAATTAAGGCTATTCCATGCGAGAATTTGCCAAGAAACTGAAGATCTCGTACAACGCTGTGTACTACTCCATTCACAGAACAGTGCAAACTGGCTTTAACCAGAATAGAAAGAGGTGTGGGAGGCGCCGGTGCACAACTGAGCAAGAGGACAAATACATTAGAGTGTCTAGTTTGAGAAACAGACGCCTCACAGGTCCTCAACTGGCAGCTTCACTAAATAGTACCCGCAAAACACCAGTCTCAACATCAACAGTGAAGAGGCGACTCCTGGATGCTGACCTTCTAGGCAGAGTTGCAAAGAAAATGACATATCTCAGACTGGCCAATAAAAAGAAAAGATTAAGATGGTCAAAAGAACACAGACACTGGACAGAGGAAGATTGGAAAATAGTGTTATGGACAGACGAATCGAAGTTTGAGGTGTTCGGATCACAAAGAAGAACATTTGTGAGACACAGCCCAAATGAAAAGATGCTGGAGGAGTGCTTGATGCCATCTGTCAAGCATGGTGGAGGCAATGTGAAGGTCTGGGGGTGATTTGGTGGTGGTAAAGTGGGAGATTTGTACAGGGTAAAATGGATCTTGAGGAAGGAAGGCTATCACTCCATTTTGCAACGCCATGCCATACCCTGTGGACGGCGCTTGATTAGTGCCAATTTCCTCCTACAACAGGACAATGACCCAAAGCACAGCTCCAAACTATGCAAGAACTATTTAGGGAAGAAGCAGTCAGCTGGTATTCTGTCTATAATGGAGTGGCCAGCACAGTCACCGGATCTCAACCCTATTGAGCTGTTGTGGGAGCAGCTTGACCGTATGGTACGTAAGAAGTGCCCATCAAGCCAATCCAACTTGTGGGAGGTGCTTCAGGGAGCATGGGGTGAAATCTCTTCAGATTACCTCAACAAATTGACAACTAGAATGCCAAAGGTCTGCAAGGCTGTAATTGCTGCAAATGGAGGATTCTTTGACGAAAGCAAAGTTTGAAGGACACAATTATTATTTCAATTAAAAATAATTATTTCTAACCTTGTCAATGACAACATTTCCTATGCATTTTGCTATATTTTCTATTCTAACTCATTTCATGTATGTTTTCATGGGAAAAAAATAATTCTAAGTGACCCCAAACTTTTGAACAGTAGTGTACACACTGAGGCATGTCTTAGATTGCGAAGGCCTTGGGTTCTGCAGAGAGAATGTGGTCCAATCACCATAGGAAAGTTGATCTGTTAATCTAAGCTACAAAACAGTTTTTTATAGTAATTAATTCCATAAAGAAATTACATACAGTGTAAGCATAGCATCAATTTAGTGCAAGCAGCAACAACGTCATTATTTTGCAAAGTCTAAGAAACCATAAAATGTGTTGTTTCTCTTTTCACAGTCACAGCAGAAATTATTTTCTACTTGCTGACCATAAAGTTCTCAGTCTTCCTTTGATTTTTGCCTCACAGTAATGTTTGGGAAATAATGGTAATGCACTAAGTCAAAGCTGTACATGATCAGGATATTTCAAGGGCACTAAAATAAAAATGATACTAAAATAAAAATGAGTAAAAAGCCATAAAAGGACTTGGAGACTGTGCAATATTGTTACGGTCGTGATCCGTCTGAAATTGAATTTAAATAGGCCCATTAATAAGCCATCTCAGTGTTGACAGTGGTGAGGTGAGATTAAGCATTCCAGACTGAGACCCAATTTGAAAGTAAAATAAAGCGGGCTAATAAAAATTGGGAAACTAATTTAGCAAGTGCATGGTCAGCTGCTGCTTATTCATTTACTGTCTTGCGCTGTTTTTTTGTGTTTAACACCGACCTGAATGCATACAAGCTTTCAAAACACAACAAATTGCAGATAAACTATTTTGGACAATCCTGAATCTAATTTTGCTTTCACACTTCTTTGTGTAATTGTCTTCACTTCATTGGTCAGACAGGTTAATAGAAATTGTATTTGCTCAAAGTGAATATCATCAACACAAGCAATAATGTTTTCTAAAGTCATGATTAGAAACAGTGGCCAAAGATAATTAACACCAAAACCTGACAAGGCTGATGGATGCTAATCTCCTCCTCCTTCCCTATGTCTCTGCAGGGAATCTACAGCTGCTTTAACGGCGTGGAGGACTCTGACCGCAACGGGAATCTGCAGAACCCTGACGTCACCACCAACTACACCCAGGCCAACATGCTGAAGATGCTGCAGACAGCCAAGGACATCGTGTCCTCGACCAGAGTGGAGAACTCCCTGGACAATGCCACCAAGACCATAGAGAACTGGAGCCGGCGTGGAGCCGACAATGTGCGGGTTGGCCTGCCGCCCCGGGTAGCAACCACTATAGACATGGGCCACAGCCGCCTGCCCTACATCTCCAGCATCACGGACAACCACTCGCACTACACCCAGAGGGCGCTTGCGCCCACCTTCCCCATCCACTACTCGGACAGCGCCATCCAGCCCCTGCTGGACAAATCCAGGGTGGTGACGCGGCCTACCCCGCTCCGCTACACCCTGCCGGCCCGCGGCAGCTACCACTTCTACGAGAGGACCCTACCCATCTCCAGCCTCAGCAGCCCCCACATCGCCATGAGGGACCCTGCTACCCCCCAGCACCTCCACCCACAACCCACACCCCCACCCCCACCACAGCAGCAGGCTGTATGTGGAGAGCCAGCCCCGGCACCCCACCTCCCCGTTTGTCCCCTACAGAGAGTTCCAGGTGCCTGACATCTACGTGGAACACCACAAGGGGCCCCTGGGACGGAAGTTTAGCTACCCCCCTGACCACATTGGCAGGAAGAAGAGGTCCCACAGCTATGTGTTTTCTGAGGCCCAAGACACCAGGGGGAGGAACGACTACGATGAGCCCACCTCCTGTCTGGCTGAGCTGAGGGCCAACCACCTCCTGAACAACCACGCCCCTTCTGCATCAAACATGGCCTGCATGGGGGGCCACTACCCCAGCGGCAGCGCCAGCTGCAACTCCTGCATGAAGCCCTACCTGGAGCCTGAAATGGAGGATGTGCCCCTGCTGGGGAAGGACAAGGTCAATCGCCGGGCCTCTTTTCTCAAGGCCACCTGGAGCAGTGACAGGATCCGCCAGCTGGGCGAGAAGCCTTCCACCTCCACTATGCCCGACCTGTTCCCCCGCGTAGTTGTGGCCAACCCCAAGCCCCACAAGCTGTACGGTAGCCAGGGGAACAACCTGTGCTACCCCCTGGCCGCTGAGCCTGCCTACCTAGACCCGGCCCATATGCGGTCCTACCCCTACAAGCAGCAGAAGCTCAAGTGCTCCCAGTCCACCCGGCTGCCATCCTACAGGGAGGCCATCCTGCAGAACGCAGCCGCTCTGCGGCGCTCCTCCTCCACTGTGGTGCACAGACACTACTCCACCTACCTGAACTCGTACACAGACCTGCCTGTATACGTGGGGCCGCTGCCCCAGGGCCCCGGACAGTTCTACGACAAGGACATGTGCCACCTGTTCCCCTGTGCAAGCCACTGCCCTGACAACAATGCCCTGGTGCCCCGTATGGGGGACCGGCAGGTGGTGTACCAGAACAATATGTTTGGGGGCTATGAGGGCGCGGTGGGGCGGTCGCGGGAGGAGCCCCCCCTGCCCGCGTCTGGGAGCAGGGATCGGAGGCAGGTCCTGGTCGCCAGAAGAGTCAACAGTCCCTATGTGCCAAAGCCCTGGGGCAGGGTATCCAGTCTGGAGTCTGAGGTCTGAGCCCCAAGCCCCTCCCCCTCCATACCTTCAGGCTGATGGACTATCCCTCCCTCTGGGGAGGGGAAAGCCTACCTCCCCTCCCCAAAAACGAATCAAGTAGCTACCAATATGGATGACTTGAGAGTGTTTACTCAGTCCAATAATATCCTTGGCTGCCGTCCAGGAAGGAGAGGACACTGACAGGCCGTTACTGCTGGGACTTTGTTAAGTAAACATTAAGCGATAAGAAAAGAGAAGACAACGTTGAATAGTATTTAATACCTTCAAATTTAACTGGTTGATTGTTATTTCAAATATTTTTAAATGCTGTCTTAGTGTGAGAGAGAGAGAGACCTGGATGACAATACACTGTAGCCGCTCACTCAGTTTAGACACATTTTACTTTTCTTTTCAACCATTTCGGTATCCTTCCATTTAAATTTAGACACATATAATAAAGATAATACTTTTGTGATCAAACCACAGAAATGTCTTCCATGACTTTTGTAAGTCCATGAGCTCTCGGGAAAGCTGTCTGTTCAAGGATTTTTGGCTCCGGTGGTCACTGATGTAATTTGACTTGGATTTTAAAAGGGAAACATTTAAATTATCATCTGTATTTCCATTGTTACACTACTCTTTAATAAACGACAAGGCCACCTCAAGGGCCTTTTGGAATTGTCTATATTTTCCATTTCTCACAGTGTATCTGAGTAAAACTCCACATATGGTTTGTAATCCCAGCAGTATGGAATAGCAGGTCAGGTCCTAGGACTCTAGATGTTTGTGTCTGCTTCAGTTCATTAAGTGGGCCACCTCTGTTGACTCATCCAGAAAGGTCACTGGATATCAGATCCACTAGACAGCGCTGTGTTCAGTCCACATGCTGACAATAGGGCAGACAAGTCAACTACAGCTCCTTAAAGACAAGAACACATTTGTATTTTACTAACCCCACATAATCTGTTCAGAAACTGTGATATGGCATCAATCTATCAAATCACTGTATGAGTATTCTGCTAAACATAGTAAATTCATTTTAAAAAGATGAAGGGGAATAGAAATATGTTCAGTTAGGTCACAAATCCAAACAGAGGTTTTGAATGATCTACAGTGGGGAAAAAAGTATTTAGTCAGCCATCAATTGTGCATGTTCTCCCACTTAAAAAGATGAGAGAGGCCTGTAATTTTCATCATAGGTACACGTCAACTATGACAGACAAAATGAGGAAAGAAAATCCAGAAAATCACATTGTAGGATTTTTTTATGAATTTATTTGCAAATTATGGTGGAAAATAAGTATTTGGTCAATAACAAAAGTTTCTCAATACTTTGTTATATACCCTTTGTTGGCAATGACACAGGTCAAACGTTTTCTGTAAGTCTTCACAAGGTTTTCACACACTGTTGCTGATATTTTGGCCCATTCCTCCATGCAGATCTCCTCTAGAGCAGTGATGTTTTGGGGCTGTCGCTGGGCAACAGGGACTTTAAACTCCCTCCAAAGATTTTCTATGGGGTTGAGATCTAAAGACTGGCTAGGCCACTCCAGGTCCTTGAAATGCTTCTTACGAAGCCACTCCTTCGTTGCCTGGGCGGTGTGTTTGGGATCATTGTCATGCTGAAAGACCCAGCCACGTTTCATCTTCAATGCCCTTGCTGATGGAAGGAGGTTTTCACTCAAAATCTCACGATACATGGCCCCATTCATTCTTTCCTTTACACGGATCAGTCGTCATGGTCCCTTTGCAGAAAAACAGCCCCAAAGCATGATGTTTCCACCCCCATGCTTCACAGTAGGTATGGTGTTCTTTGGAGGCAACTCAGCATTCTTTGTCCTCCAAACACGACGAGTTAAGTTTTTACCAAAAAGTTCTATTTTGGTTTCATCTGACCATATGACATTCTCCCAATCCTCTTCTGGATCATCCAAATGCACTCTAGCAAACCTCAGACGGGCCTGGACATGTACTGGCTTAAGCAGGGGGACACGTCTGGCACTGCAGGATTTGAGTCCCTGGCGGCGTAGTGTGTTACTGATGGTAGGCTTTGTTACTTTGGTCCCAGCTCTCTGCAGGTCATTCACTAGGTCCCCCCGTGTGGTTCTGGGATTTTTGCTCACTGTTCTTGTGATCATTTTGACCCCACGGGTTGAGATCTTGCGTGGAGCCCCAGATCGAGGGAGATTATCAGTGGTCTTGTATGTCTTCCATTTCCTAATAATTGCTCCCACAGTTGATTTCTTCAAACCAAGCTGCTTACCTATTGCAGATTCAGTCTTCCCAGCCTGGTGTAGGTCTACAATTTTGTTTCTGGTGTCCTTTGACAGCTCTTTGGTCTTGGCCATAGTGGAGTTTGGAGTGTGACTGTTTGAGGTTGTGGACAGGTGTCTTTTATACTGATAACAAGTTCAAACAGGTGCCATTAATACAGGTAACGAGTGGAGGACAGAGGAGCCTCTTAAAGAAGAAGTTACAGGTCTGTGAGAGCCAGAAATCTTGCTTGTTTGTAGGTGACCAAATACTTATTTTCCACCATAATTTGCAAATAAATTCATTAAAAATCCTACAATGTGATTTTCTGGATATTTTTTTCTCAATTTGTCTGTCATAGTTGACGTGTACCTATGATGAAAATTACAGGCCTCTCTCCTCTTTTTAAGTGGGAGAACTTGCACAATTGGTGGCTGACTAAATACTTTTTTTCCCCACTGTATATGACCAGGATGGCCATGCTATTGTCTGAGCAGTGTTACCTGTGACAGTAGTTAAATATTCCCTCAAGGCTCATCTTGGGATTCCACACACTGACATTAGCCTATCAGTGATTCTGCCAACGCGTGCGCGCGCGCGTGCGCGCGCGCGCGCGCACACACACACACACACACACACACACACACACACACACACACACACACACACACACACACACACACACACTCATCAACACCTTACTTTACTTACTTACCAATGTCAAGGGGGAGCTTTGGCACACCCCAGCCTCCCTCAGAACAGCCTTAATTCCTCAGGGCATGGACTCTACAAGGTGTCGAAAGAGTTCCACAGGGATGCTGGCCCATGTTGCCTCTAAAGCATCCCACCATTGGGTCAAGTTGGCTGGATGTCCTTTGGGTGGTGGACCATTCTTGATACACATGGGAAACTGTTGAGCATGAAAAACCTAGCAGTGATGCAGTTCTTGACACAAACCGGTGTGCCTGGCACCTACTACCATACCCTGTTCAAAGGAACTTAAATCCTTTGTCTTGCCCATTCACCCTCTGAATGGTACATATACACAATCCATGTCTCAATTGTCTTAAGGCTTAAAAATCCTTCTTTAACCTGTCTCCTCCCCTTCATCTACACTGATTGAAGTGAATTTAACAAGTGTCATCAATAAGGGATTATAGCTTTCACCTGGATTCAGCTGGTCAGTCTACGTTATGGAAAGAGCAGGTGTTCTTAATGTTCTGTACACTCAGTGTATATAACATTTTTGCTTGTGTATTCTACTATTCTAACACTCAACATTAAGTTGAGACCCCGACTGAGTCCCCCCAAAATATATATATATATACACTACCGTTCAAAAGTTTGGGGTCACTTAGAAATGTCATTTTTTTCCATGAAAACATACGTGAAAAGAGTTAGAATAGGAAATATAGCAAAATGCATAGGAAATGTAGTCATTGACAAGGTTACAAATAATTATTTTTAATTGAAATAATAATTGTGTCCTTTCGTCAAAGAATCCTCCATTTGCAGCAATTACAGCCTTGCAGACCTTTGGCATTCTAGTTGTCAATTTGTTGAGGTAATCTGAAGAGATTTCACCCCATGCTTCCTGAAGCACCTCCCACAAGTTGGATTGGCTTGATTGGCACTTCTTACGTACCATACGGTCAAGATGCTCCCACAACAGCTCAATACGGTTGAAATCCGGTGACTGTGCTGGCCACTATCATTATAGACAGAATACCAGCTGACTGCTTCTGCCCTAAATAGTTCTTGCATAGTTTGGAGCTGTGCTTTGGGTCATTGTCCTGTAGTAGGAGGAAATTGGCTCCAATCAAGCGCTGTCCACAGGGTATGGCATGGCGTTGCAAAATGGAGTGATAGCCTTCCTTCTTCAAGATCCCTTTTACCCTGTACAAATCTCCCACTTTACCACCACCAAATCACCCCCAGACCATCACATTGCCTCCACCATGTTTGACAGATGGCATCAAGCACTCCTCCAGTATCTTTTCATTTGGTCTGCGTCTCACAAATGTTCTTCTTTGTGATCCGAACACCTCAAACTTCGATTTGTATGTCCATAACACTTTTTTCCAATCTTCCTCTGTCCAGTGTCTGTGTTCTTTTGCCCATCTTAATCTTTTCTTTTTATTGGCCAGTCTGAGATATGGCATTTTCTTTGCAACTCTGCCTAGAAGGCCAGCATCCCGGCGTCGCCTCTTCACTGTTGACGTTGAGACTGGTGTTTTGCGGGTACTATTTAATGAAGCTGCCAGTTGAGGACCTGTGAAGCGTCTGTTTCTCAAACTAGACACTCTAATGTATTTGTCCTCTTGCTCAGTTGTGCACCGGGGCCTCCCACTCCTCTTTCTATTCTGGTTAGAGCCAGTTTGCTCTCTTCTGTGAAGGGAGTAGTACACAGCGTTGTATGAGATCTTCAGTTTCTTGGCAATTTCTCGCATGGAATAGCCTTCATTTCTCAGAACAAGAATAGACTGACGAGTTTCAGAAGAAAGTTATTTGTTTCTGGCCATTTTGAGCCTGTAATCGAACCCACAATTACTGATGCTCCAGATACTCAACTAGTCTCAATAAGGCCAGTTTTATTGGTTCTTTAATCAGCACAACAGTTTTCAGCTGTGCTAACATAATTGCAAAAGGGTTTTCTAATGATCAATTAGCCTTTTAAAATGATAAACTTGGAATAGCAAACACAACGTGCCATTGGAACACAGGACTGATGGTTGCTGATAATGGGCCTCTGTACGCCTATGTAG